ATATCAATATATCTAAGGTCTCCCGTTCTAGGATCCTTTCTTGAGCGACGTCGAATAATTGCAAAGCCGTTGACTAGGCCAAAGGCCTGTAGTGAGTCAAAAGCCTCATCAGCTGAGCTGAATGTCTGATATATAGGCGGTTCCGGGATAATAGTATCGCTATTATCATCATCATCCTCAGGCTCTGATTCGTCAGAGGAGAACGTAATTTCCCAATCATCAAGAAAATCGTCCATTTTGAGCACTTTTTATGATATGCTAACCTGCGTTCTTTATATGAGATATCATATAGGCCGCATTTGAAAGGGCTTTACTAGCGTATTTTTTGATCATATGACTCGCTTAATTTACCCATATAGGTTTAGCGTGAGGTCCAAATAACAATTCCCTAAAAATATGAAAGTCGAAAAAGAAATGCTTCCGATGCGGGGAATCGAACCCCGAGCTGCTGTGTGAGAGACAGCGATGTTAGCCATTACACCACATCGGAGGTGGTTGTTAGATATTTCAACTTTATTTTGTTAAATAAACCAAAAAACTTTTAACACTCTATAGCAGTTCGAACTAAGAAAGTTTTGATATACTTTACTTACTTGACTATAGTATAAAGAAAATACTACATACTTCCTGGTATACACGTGCTCGATCTTAACCCATTAGATAAGTATACGATCTGGTGTCGTCAAAGCTTGAGCCTTGACCCAACCAACACTTCATTATGCTAGAGGTTTGCCTTAGTATATATATATCAACCCTCATGGGTGCTCCATAACTATAACACCCCACCATGGGCAATACTCAGACCGTATAAACGGACAGGAAGACAGTTACTCGTGAGGTATAAAGCTTGATTGACCGTCCAGGATAGGAATATTTGCATAAAAACATTAACTAGGAGCTATAAAACCGAAGAAACCTGATTATTCAATGATCTACACCCTTGCTAGAATCCACTCCGCAATATCATCAGCAAACTCTTGCCTATTCTCCGGCAAGTCCGCATGAAGCACATGGCTCCAACCCTCATAAGACTTGAACTTCCGGTCCGCAACCTTGCCGGTCTGTGCATCAAACCAGCGCTTGCTCGCATCGTGGCTGGTGACCTGGTCCCCCGTGCCATGGGCCACATAGACAGACCGGACCCCATCGTTCAGCTTAAGCTTACCGGAAGTCAAATCGGCGGCACGGTCGAGCATATTCGCAAACATCTCCAGCGTGCCGACACAAGGATTTAATGGATCATTCTCCAGGATTTGCTGCACAGCGGGGTCCCGCACGATCGTTTCGACCTTCATCGGCTGGGTAATCTGAAAGCGTGGCAGTAATTTATATGCTAAACGAGCGAAGACGACCGTGATAACACTTGGTTCCTGCTCAGCGTCGAGTCCGATAAACGGTGCCTCGAGCATGATACCCCCCAGGCGTGAAACAAGATTTTGATACTTGGGCGTAGAGGCCAAGGTCGCGACTAGTCCACCGCCCATTGAGTGGCCCATTACGAAGACGGGAACAGACGGTTTCGCTTCGAGTTGGACCTCGATGAACGCTGCCAAATCGGCTAGAATGGCAGCGGTTGGGCCCGTGTTCCCGCGGTCGGCCTTGGTTTTGGCCGACTGGCCCCAGCCACGCTGGTCAATTCCCGTGCAGAAGATCCCACGGCGGGCTAGAGTTGGAAACAAATCAAACATGTTGTTAATGTGGTCGCTAAAACCATGGAAATGGACCAGGCGGGCGACGGGAGCAGCGTTACTCGGCTGAACATGCAAATTAGTATCGCGCCAAGAGTACCATCAGCGGAGATCACAACTTACTGCCCATGTCTTCTGGTAGACGGACAATCCGTCGGGAAGCTGGAACTGGGCCTCAGTGATGTCGATGTCGGCCATGGCGAAGGATATCCAGGGATATGTAATGTGGAAGTGTTGTTTGGGAGAGAAGACGGATGGATCTTATTATATGGAATTCCGAATCCGAAATCTAACGCGATCGGTGCCTGATGGATTAGTGATCTCTCTTGGCTTTCAACTGCACTGCAAATCTACCTCCTGATATAAGTGGGCTAGGTCAGCCTATTCTCCGGAGTATGCGCTTTTTGATATTGGTATGTTTAGGACAAGAGTAATTCGATATAAACCCTTCTTGGACCCATGGGGATTGTTTAGGTGCCAGTATTTGGACCTCGGCACGGTTGATCTCCACGCCTATAGCTCGGCGTGTAGCCGTCTCAGGTCAGCAGACCCACCCGCCCTTCGGCGTGTTGGTCTGCTTTATCTAAACGATAGTCTTTATCTAAACGATAGTCTTTATCTAAAACGATAAATTTGAAGCCATTCAAGCTCCTATACAACATCGCCTGGAGTATCTATCCAAAAGGGTAATCTAGGAACTTCCTTATCTACCTGGCTAGCCTCTGTACTAGGCAGATCCCCTATATCTCCCTGTTGTGATGGCTTATCGTGTCCTAAAGTTCGCGCTTTCTTAATCCGCAGGAGTTCTTCATGTCTTTCCTCTTCATTTCTGAGCTGAATATGGCGTTTAGCATCATGTACAGTTAAAGGCCCAGTATATTGGATTCTTCTCTTATCAAACCACCTTCTGAAATGATTCTGAAGGATCCTTTAGACAACCCTAGTTTGAAATCTATGGAATTCGCCGCAAATATCTAATCTAACGATTTTACGGAAGAAAAGACATGGAGCAGGATTATCTAGGTTTTCCATACCTCTGTCTTTAGGGTAGACCTGATGCCAGGTCCGTCTTGATGAATTGTACTTCCCCATGGTCGGAGTTAGGGCTTTCGTGGATTAGCACAAGGTTCGAGAGGGAGCTTGTGCTAAACCATACGCAACTTATGATCCTGGTCCTACCAAGAATGGCCATGACCTTAGGGGGTTACAGGCTTAGCGGGGGGAGGAAATCCATTGTAGTGATAAGATAGATAGTATCGAAGGTCTGCACTTTCAGGGGCTGGCTTTTAAGTATGAAGCTCAGTTGTGGGAGGGTTGTAAGACCCAAACCTACGAATAACTATCCATTGTGTTACATCAAGGGACTGCTCCGGTTGAAATGTAAGAAAGTAAGCTTTCAAAGCATTCAGTTTAGGGCTTCCAGAACTGCGACCCTAATAGCGGATATGTAGACGACCATCATCCCCAAAACACCATCAAGTTTTGACTGCAGTCAATCATTATTGAATTCCTATACATAAACATACAATACAAAAGTGGGGTATTTCAGTTCCATATATCCACGACAATCGACACATACACATCAACGCCAATCAAGCCCTAATATCATCCTAAGGCATCCCATTCCAAATCGAATTTTCCATAAAAGTGATCCGACAGATCCTCAACCGACTACATTCTCAGGCCTAATTCTCATTCCTCTCCCTCTCCTTCTCCTTCTTCAACTCCATCCCAAACTTCTCCCCCAGCACATTCCCCACCCAAGCCTCAACCTCATCTTCCAGCTCCTTGTCCACCTTCGTAACATCTCCACCATCGCTATAGAAACCCCTCCTCACAAACTTTCTCATATCATCGACCCCATTGATATCCAGCGCACACAAAATACCCCCAGTGCCCGCCATGCCCAGGGAAAGCACATTCAGCGTCGCCAGATTCAGCGCCTCAAAGGCTTCCGCGCCGCCGCTGACGTCGGGCTTGTGATGGAGGGAGGAAGTATAGAAAGGTGGGACGGAGGCGAGATAGCGTCTGTTTAAGGCGCGGCGGGTGGTCCATAGCGAGAAGGCGAAGAATGTGAGGCCACCGAGGAGAAGTTTGTATTTTGTCTGGGGGTTGATAAGTTTCAGTTCGGGTTCGGATTCGGGTCTTTGGTTGTGGGATTGTGGTTGGGATTGGCTAATTTGTGTTGTTGGTTGTTGTGAGGTTGCTTGGTCTGATGGGGTTTCGGGGGTTTGGGGAGAACCCCGGCGGAAGAAGGAAAACATTCTGTTGTAACGAGGTGGATAATTGGAAGGTAGGATTCTTTTTTTGCCACCGGTGACAGTAGAGAGGCCGATTGGTAGGAATTGTGGTCTTGGTGTGCTTGGGTTCAACTCAGATCTGCGAGGGGAAGATGAATCGGATGGAGCGGAGATCTGAAGCTGGAATGCGGAGTTCGTGACATTTAACTAGTCATGTGACTTATGCCTCAGGCAGGTAAATTGTTGCTGCTGGAAGCGTCTGGAAGCACTTTTTGAGTCATCCGGTCCAATATGTCTCGTGGACATGCTATAGTCGTCAAACATATGTATTGTAATCTGGCGGCTATAGTATAATACCGTAATATACCCCAAATGAGGCAGGTCAAGGCGCCCAGCGGCCACCTCATGTAATATAAACAAGAGAAAGAGAAAAAATTATGTGCTGGACATAGTCATCCAGTATATATAAGTATACAACGCTGGAACCCATGAATAATAATCCTCAGAGTATCATATAACCCGGGATTCGAATGTGTAGATTCTCCAGATTCTGTGCATCTGGCTCTTAACCCAAGTCTGCTGTTCATCAGGCAAACACAGGTCAGGCGAGCAAAGATACTCAAGTTCAGACCGAATTAACCAGCCACCAAGAAGGGGGGCCGTCTGTTGATGGGCCGAAGTCACCCGGCGCTCCTCAGCTTCGGGATACTCAACCTTGGAGGGGTCCAAGTGAACAGACATTGTCTGACTGCCTAGGAAGAAGGGAACTGCAGCGCAGATATCGGTGGCCATTTCTCTGATAGTAGATATCACTGTTTCAACCCTGTTCGGTGTGCCAAGGTTTGGGAGCAGACGGAGGCAGTTGAGGATGATATTTTGGACAACGATGCGAGATTCTCGATAGGTATTCCATGTGCTCCCTATCCACATCTCCGTATAACAGTCGCACCTATTTCTGAACATACCTGCCTCGCGAACAGATTGGGGTACCATGGTTGCCGGCACAGGGGCCCAATGTTGGGGAAGAGCCCATGTCCAGGCACAAAGTTTGCTGTCGAGAACCATAGCCATGGAATATATGTGATTGATTTCATCTGCGCCGTATAATTCCGGTTGTGATGTGAACTTATCCCACACCTGCCTAAGATTCACTAACTCAGTTGCAGCGGCTGTCAGCTGGGAGGATGCAGACTGCGGTATTGGTGCTGTCATGGGCCACACATCTGGCATTTCGATGGTCGGATAAGCCGGTCCCGTCGAGGCTTTAATCTAGAACAGGCTATCAGCAACAGTGCCAGTGGCTTTCAGAGTTTATAACAGACAATTTGACATTGTATTGAGTTTGTTACTATTTGAGAATTAGCATCCTCACTTGGTGGCATGTAGCCGCTGTTGACCAAGGCAATCGCCCCTTGCAGATGAGTTTTTGCTGCAATTCTGTGCTCCTTAACAGCAGAAAACTCCTAATATCATTATTAATCTAAACATCAAATAAGCATTGAATTTCTTCGAACTCACCTCGTAGACAGAAAGCAGAAGAACTGCCATTATAGTCTCGAACATATTTTTACCAAGGTTACCCTGCAAGGCTACTCTTGTCTTCGATAAAGCTCTCACGAAGAACTGCTCCGCCAAGCCGAGAAACGAGCGATTTCCTGTCCAGGCCGAGACAGAGAACAATGACACGGCCAGTGTACCCAGATACAAAGGAGTTCCAGGCCGGGCATTGAAGTATCGATCGGGCAAAAGCTCCATAAATCCAATCCGAATGAGAGGGTCTCTCGGCTGATAAAGATAGGAATTGAAGAATAAAGAGGTAACTGTACTCTCTAAAGGCAGGGGTAAAGTGCTTGGAACACTAGGGTTTAGAGCTCTCACAACGTTTATGGAGACAGGCGAACTTTCCACCTCTGGGAAGCTCAAGGATGATGTAGTGGATGCAGTGGAAGGCGACGTAGACGTCCCTGACGCTGTCAATGGAGGAGACAGCTCTTTCGAACCCTCTTTGCATTTTGTGGACTTAACTGCCCTGGTCTTAGAAACATTACTTTTTTTGCGTTGAAAGGCCGTTCGATCTCTTAGCATAACATCGAGTGGGTGCGGATATCCGGGGCATGTCCGGCCGGTCCGGATACAGGCCTTACAGTGAGGACGAGTCTCGTCGCACTGCAGCAATTAGCACGATGCCAGTCCCGGATAAGTAAACAAACTGCATACCTTAATATGTCTAGATCGACAGTTTTGACAGCCTGTGCTAGGTTTCCCACGGTAAACCATGATGACAACACAAGGTAATTTTAATCATGTGTGGATATCAAAAAAGCGATAAGGAGATTAGGCTTTAGTAATTATGGATTCGATGCATAGATCTTGTAGTATATACAACACGCAAATCCCTCAGCGAAGTCGTTCATCGAGACTCTAATCAACAAGGTGTCTTGACAATCGATACGAGCGATACTTCTTCTAGAGTAAGCTGGAGCCTAGAAACATTGACCTACATAGGTAGAGAAACGGGGCAAGAGTCTCGGCCCAAAGTAGCTTAGCTGATCGCTCACGTGGTAGATGAGTCAGGATTCCTGGCTATCTTATCGGCGAGATGATAAATGACATCACTCTGTTTATGTAGTATCTAAACATGTAAAAAGCAAAGAACTATTATATCTGAGCTATGGACACATAGAAGGTTCTTTTTGGGGATCTCAAAGCACAATAGGGAATAAAAACAAATCATCAGCATATCTCATTATCAATCATTACCTTCCTCCATCATGTCAAACGTAAACCGAAATTTCATATCACCCATACTGAATCATACAATCATAAAATTATTGAATCATACGCCATCAAATGTTGGGCGAATAGTGCCCTCTTGGGAAAAACAACTCGAATGCACCACATGGGCTGTGGATAGAATAGACATCTTTCCTGAACGGAGGGAATTGCGAAGGGAAACAAACCCCAAGAACCGTTGGTTATCACTTCATCGACCCCGTTGTAATCAGCATGTCCGCCCGACCCGGCCGATGAAAGCGATCAATGCCAAAATGTTCTTTGCCATCACGTCCCACATAGATTCCAAAGCCATACATGGGATGGTCCCTGTCTCCAGGAGGTGCCATGACCAGTCGCGTAACAAGATCAGCTTTGCTCCGAGGCTCACGGAGTATTTTATCTGAGAGCAGAGGGCTCTGGTAGAGGAAGCTTATCAGATCCGCGAGCGTGCTAATATCATGGGGCAGGTAGCGGCGGCGACCGGGCCAGATACACAAAAAGGACACTGTGTATAATGCGCAAAACACAACCATGGCGTAGAATGCCGGCATAAGAGCGGCAATGCGGATTTCGCTTTCTGAAGGGTAGTTGAGAGCGATAAAGACACCACCAGCCAAGATAGGAATAGCAGCCGAGGCAACGCTCATGAAGGAGATCCAGGCCACCTTATAGTGTTTGTTGAGGATAGCCAGTACTGTCACATGGAAGGGGAAGCACGACGGATAAGACAGTAGCAAGCTTTGGTCGGCCGGTGCACCCTGCGGAAAGGAAAGCGAGACAAATGGTTGCAGAGCACGGAAATACACATCAATAGGCTGCCACGCGAGGAAAAGGACGTTCCCGATGAGTGCTGGGATGAAGCTGTACAGGAAGTTAGAGGAGGAAAAGGACTTAGGCGACGGCAGTGTGGGCAGCCGTGGTGGGAATCCGCCTTTAATGGCGTCATGGAGAAAGCTGACAAGCACAAAGGCGATAAAAAGAGCGCCGATGGTAACTGTCCATGTGACAATAAAGGTGTCTCGAAGGAACCATGGAGTCCACCGGTAACGAACAGATGGCGAGTACATGTGCTCATCGAAGCCATACTTCCCTTCTCCGATCTGCTGCTCTATGTCGTAGGAAACCCTGGATAAACCATATGGCTGCTTTTCGCGGCTCTTTTCGCTGAGGTGGAGAGATGGGTTTCCCAGCGGCGCTGCAACCTCACCGATACCGTAGAACGTCGCTTCACGGTTGGATAATTGCCAGTAGCCCAGCCGGAGGACTCTAGGGTTGAGTGACTCGCCTACATCGGGCAATATTTCAGATTGCTCAAAATCCCGCAAGATATTGGACCGTTGAATGATTGAGATCAGATCAGCGAGGCTCACCGGATCCCATATTAGTCCCGACCAAGTGCGAAGAAAGCGAAACATCAGTAGAACCAATGCAACGGTCAGCAGTCCGTATATCGCTACCAGTGTCCAACCAACATCCTGTACAGCAGTCCAACGCCATGTCCCTTGCCCATCGATGAAGAACCACTTTGCTTGGAAAAAGCAACTTAGCAGTGGCAACGTGATCACATTCGAGAGCCATATTAAGACCAAAGAGAACCCGACCAACGGTTCCCCATGTTGAAACTGCGAAAAGTCTGGAACCAAAAAGTTCCGCGATAGAATTGGCAAACGATGCAAAACATGACCTAACTTCCTTTCCGAGGCCATGATCGCAAACGGCATTGTACGATACACTGCCGCCTGGATAGTGAAAGTCCAAACCGTGATAATGACAGCCAAAATTTGTGGGAGGAATTGAACAACGAAATACCGTCCACCACCTTGGCCATCATAATCCCAGAAGCCCTGGTGTCTCTGAGACCATACGTTACAGAAGACAACCCCGGCGATCATGAGCAAAGAGCAGAAGATGACCACAATAAGGGCCCATGGCCGTAACACATACGGCACGTAGTCCAGGCGTGGATAGAGCAAACTATCTTTTGGAGGCTCGACTGCGACAAAGGCTTCCGGTTCTACCGAGTCCGGAAGTGACTTATCGACTGGCTCTGGTGAGGGGTGCTGCAATAACGGCTGCTGGGCGGGGGGTGTATTATTCGATTCAGGCGAGCGGATGAAATACCCCAATCCTTCGTCCCAAATGAGACGCTCAGCCGGATAGTCCTCGCTTGCAACTGAGCTCGGTCTTCGCAAGCTATGAGAATCTTCTTCGCGTGTAAGTTGGTTAATAGCAAATCGGATGTATGGAACGTCGTCCATGCCAGGTGTGGGCGGAGGTCCCGCATAGCTGTCACTCGGGACCTGGCGACTGGCACTCTCGGTCATTGGGCTCATGTGAGCTTCTCTGTCTTGCACAGAGCGCACGGTACGCACAGCGGGCGATGGTGCATTTTTGTTCTCGTTTGGCATCTTCACTGGCTGCTCTAGGCGGGAGGTTGATCC